GTCGAAAATCAAAAATACACATCTAGAAAACACTCAAGGATTTTCAACAGTAAAATGTACAGTACCTATTCTGCTACATTAAAATATATATTTTTCCTAATTTTAAAGTTCAATTCTGTTTGCCTAACGTTAAAGTCCAAAATTTTTGAAATTCACACACATTTTCAAACTTTATCACTCTCGTATTAACAAATAAGCAAACACAAATCAAAAACTCTAATTAATCCTAGCACATAACTCCTTCCTTAAAAAGTAAATTACACAAAATAGGTAAATTCAAAATCCAAATTCAATTCTCGATCCGATCCCCCACTAAGCAGAGGTCACGGCACCAGTGTTAAATAGCTTAAGTTCACGCCGGGAAATAATGTTATGAATCTTACTTCACGGCACCAATGTTATATCTTAAATTCATATAAAATGTTAAATGTTAAATATGAAACTACTTGCCGTAAAAGGCAGTAATCGTATAGTGAAACGTGTACAGCATTTTTGCGTTGTGAAAAAAATGCATTCCGGGACCGCGCCGTGAGAGGATCGAAAACATAAAACATATACAAGATATAAAGGAAAAGTTCATATTAAATATATAAAGAAAACATACTGTAAGAGGTTCCAGATTAAATATCAGTTTATTCAATTACAACACAATAAGAAAAATCTTAACCTCATCTGAGAGTCTGTTCATTTAAATTCATAAAAAAAACTTAAGGTTTGTCTGGTGATTTAAAAGAAAGGAAAGGGAAACAATTTAAGGCCTGAGAGTTAAATTTTAGATTTGACGTTGTTTTTTTTTCTGCTAAGGACGTTTTTGAAAAGCTTGCCTAAAGTTCAAACACACCAAAAAAAATAAAACTTATCTTGAAGCGGAGGACTCTTATCTTATCCCGCGTTGATGTCGGCCGGGCTCATCTTGACACTGGTTCTAAAAATGTAGACCCACTTCACTACTGTAGAACAGAAACAGGAGCACTGCTGCCCAGGACGGCTATCCGCTTGGTCCTGAAAGTCCTATGTCAACACGCAGGTAACTCGTTCAAATTTCGCCGGTCAGAAACGTTGTTGCTAGGAAATTACGGCTCGCCTGTTCTTACTCATCCCAAGAGCAAGCTTCACGGGTAACGTCCCAAGTAAGTTCCAGAGTAACATCCACAAGTCCAGCCAACCAGTAAGTGCGTGAGTTCAAAAGTAAGAGTGTCCAGAGTAAGTGTGTATCCAACTCGAATTTCCTTCGTCTCCTTCACAAAACGGGCTCCCACTATGGCTTCACTTATCGCCCCCTTAATTATGGCAAAATCTTCGTTTTCAACTCCAGAATGCGGAAATAAGGGTGATCGCGCATGCGCGCCCTTCTTCACTTAGCCAACAACCGGACCCTCAATCGCCAAACCTGAATGACTTACATTGAAAGACAACCTTTGACCTTTCCGTCACGTACTTTCCTCTCTTAAGGTCAACTAACAATGAAAATTCTTTCTCGAACATTCTAAAGCGCGCGAAATCATGACTTGGCGAAAATTGCCTCCCTTTCCCTGCTTCTTTCACAATGAATAAAAGTTTGTACAAGATTTGCAAATAAAAGAAAATAAATAATATTCATTTAAACTAAATAATATTTCCAGAAGCATCTGTTTTTCCCCAAAATTAAAGCCTTAAAATAAATAATTCATAATCAAAATAAAATTTAAATTTCCATAAATCATAAAATCATTCACCTAATTTTTATAACGCTATCCGGTAATTTCTCTACATAACACAGTTGATGAGTAAAATTCTGCAAAACTTGCTGAATTGCCGAGACATTGATGCGTGTGATGACCTCCTGAATAGCTGTTTTGAGCTCAGTGATGGTTTCAGAGTTATTTCTGTAAACTTTGTCTTTAATATTGCCCCACAAAAATGAGTCACAAGGGTTGAGATCGAGAGACTATGGTGGCCAAGCAATCTTATTCCAGTGATCTCTGGGTACCCAAAGCCAGAATGCGCTGTCCAAAGTGCTGTTTCAGAACTTCAAACACTCTATCGGTTTGATGGAGTTCTGCTTCGTCCTGCATCAAACACATCTTTTCGAAATCTGGTTTACCTTGGATAAGAGAGATGACATCGTTTTCTAAAATTTTGACATAACATTCAGCAGTCACTGTGCTTGCAATAAATATCATGCCGATTATTCTATGATTTGATATTGCACACCAAACAGTTACCCGTTTAGGCTAGAAAGACCTTTTTTATCATGAAATGAGGATTTTCAATCCTTGAAATGTGGCAATTCTGCTTATTGACATACTTATCCAAATGAAAGTTGGTTTTGTCACTAAATCAACCCATATTCACATCAAATTCTTATTGGTGAATCATGTCAACAATAGTCTTGGGGAAAACACAAGTGCTGTTCGATAGCAATTTTGTTCAGTGGCTAATGAGTTTGAATTTTGTATGGAAAGAGCTGACAATTTGTCGCTAAGTCTCCTGACCTGTTATGAAGCTCATTTGATAGATGTTTTTGGGCTGTTTTGAAATGCAGTTTGTGTGTTCTCGTTGGCTGTTTTCACATTTACTTGGTGATCAGTATTGCCAACACTATCATCACAAACAGTTCTCTCAAACCTTTTAATCAGATTTTTGATTGTTAGAACATTTGGACTGGTTGTCTTCAGCTTGTACTTGGTCACGAATTTCCTTTGAGCCTCAATCAGGCTGTTATTGATTGAATAATAGGCATTGATGATGAATATATGCTTAGTAATGCTGTATTTTGATGTTTTCAATAAAAAACGAACAACAACAATATGAGGGCACATGCTCAAACAAATTCCCAACATGCCCCACCATTCAACCGCCAAGTTTTAAATAATCTTGCCAACGGTTCAAAAATTATCAAGTGTTCCCCCCCCCATGTAGCTGAATAATTGTCCACACTGTATCTGCCTTTTGTAATTCCTTAATATGTGTCTTTGTGCTTTGTATAAAATAAGCATTTTAGACATGCTTATATGTCTGTATGTCTCTAAAGCTACTAATATGTTTGCAAAACAGAGATAATTTGAATATCAATTTCATTATGATCATCATCTTCCCCCTTATTTTATTTTTTCGTCATTATCTCATATAGCTTCAACATTCTTTACTTCTAAAAGTTAATATATTTTTATTGACATTATTGAAATGTGAAAAGCATTTAACTTCATTTTCCTCTATCAGTCTGTAATAACTTCATTTTCCTCTGTCAGTCTGTAATAACTTCATTTTCCATCATTCAAAAGAAAAAAAATCTGTTTTCTCGAAACATTTAAGAGTTAATGAGATATCACATTTTCTAAGAATAAAGTCAGCATGTGTGATATTCTGTATCGAAAATAGGCATTATTTCTTCAACAGCAAGAAGAACATTTGGCTTTATAACTTGTAATAATAATAATAACATATAATGTGTTTTTTCTGGTCATATGATTCCAGTGACTAATATTTGATGCCAGCTAGTACAGCACCCCCTGTCCTCTCAAAAAATAGGACACCAAAATATGTCAATGATGAGAGATCAATTAGATGTGCAGCCCAGTGACTTATTAACAATAGACTTTATTTGTTCTTTTTTACCATCGTTTTGCCTCATTCATTCAAATTATTTGTAAAAAATCTTAGATGTCATCAGTTGCTTTTTCCTGCTCGGATAAAAAACATGCAATTCTTTCATGTTTCTGAAGAAGTGTGAATTCAGAGACTTACAAATAACTATAAGGAAGTTTCTTCTTTTTATCAGTATTACAGCATAGAAGTTCAGGCAAATTTTTCTCGCTTGTGTTTGCCACAGCAATATATCTTTTCCTTGAAATACAGTCTTTTATTTGACAAAAGCCAATAAAACAAGCCAGTTCCATTACAATTGAAGATATTTTTTGAGTCATAGCCATCAATCAAATTAGGTAGATATATCATTCACTGACTGAGTCTTCATTTGCTGCATTTTCTTCAGTTGGACCATATATATGTATATTCAATCTCTGCCTTTGTTTTCGTTTTTCTGAACTACTGAACCAATCCCACTTCAAAATTCTCAGATTTTTCATTCTGAGTTCTATATTTTTATTCTAATGTACTATGCAATTGTAGTTTTTGTTGAGTTTTTCAAGCTTCATTTCAGTTTTGATTCTGACAACTAAAAGTTGGCAAAAGTTTCCCCCCCCCCACTGATCTTCAAAAACAATTCCACTCCCTTATTTACTTCCATTTCAAAAGAGATTGATAATGTTTTCCTTTTGCACATCTTTCTAAAATCTGAAATTTAAAATGTAAAATCTTAGGCTTCAAAAATCTTGAGACTTGAGAGGTAGACAACTTTCAAAATTTATGTGTAATAGTTATAAAACATATGTATTATACTGTAAGTAGCATCACAAAGACTGGAGAAAGGGTTTGAATTGCTTTGCATTCAACTTGATGAGGAAAGTAGGATTAATATTATCATTGAACAACTGAGTGTTAGCTGACCATGAAAAGTCTGTTAAAAAAGCTGTTTTCTTTATTGTCTAAAGATTTTAAAAGTGTGAAGTATAATATTCTAAGATTAAAGTATAATATGACGTAGTAAAAGAAAATGTAAATTATAATATGAAGTAGTAAATGAAGATACATTTTTGGCAGAACTAGGTTCAGTGACAAAATTTTTTGCCCCATAATGGAGAGAGATTTCAAAAGGTATAATTATAAACAAGAGAATTTAAACATAATTTTCTTATTGCTTATGTCAGGACTTGGAAAAATCCTTGTACAACTGAGAACACTATTTGAATGAAAGGTTACTACATTACTTTTCTTTGTGTCCTTGAATATCTAGTTAATGTTGTACTATAGTTAAAAATATTAATAATAGTAGTAATTGACATGGAAGAATATGTAATGATTTCAGATTTTATTTAAAAAGTACTTTTAATGAAATTATCTATGTGATTTTATTATTTTGGTGTGTGTTTTTAATTTAAGTGTGCGTCTCTATTTTCCAGTTAGAGCTGTATAGAAATAAATTAACACAGTTGGAATTGGTAATTATTTTTTTCTCATTCTTATATTTACTAATGTAAATAATAGCATGCTTATAATTTTATAACAATAACTGAAACAATATGTGCTAATCAGTAATTTAAAATTTGATTTTTTGTTTCTCTGTATACTACCTGTCTTAAATTGAAATCTCAGAATTTCATCTTAAAAACCTGGCTTTTAAGATAAAATCCTGAGAAAATTCTTAATCAGTTTTTTATCTTAAAGTTTGTGAAGTCATTATTATGCAGTGCTTCTATTTGTTTTGAAGCTTTCTCATATTCTGCATTTCCATAATTCTAAACAGTTGATATTATCAGTAGAAACTTTATTTTATGTTAATACCTTCCCTTTTTGGTAGTATATTTATTTATATTTGAAAAAAAAATCAAAAGATATTTTAAGCTATCATTACTTGCAATGATTCATAAAAGTGAGAAATATAGCTGATAGACAGAGTTGGAACTATTTGTCTTCATATACATAAATATATACACCTTTCTATATTTTAATTTATGTGATTAATTTAAAGAAACGCTTCGTTGAAACTTTCTGTAGAAACAGTTGTTAAAAAAAAAAAAAAAAAAAAAAAAAATGAATCATCTGTTATGGTATGAAAGGAGTGAAGAAAGATTATTTCATCTGTATAAATATTATTTGATTTCACTTCCATTAATCAAAGTTATGTTTTTTAAGACTATAATTTATAACTTAAAGTAATTCATTTTTATGTTTTTAGAGAGATATTATAGTTATGATAAATTTTAGGAAGTTATTTTTATTATTTTTATACTGTTTATAAATTTCTTTTGGGTACACCTTTGTTGCCTCATTTGGTATCAATTCTTAAATATTTTTGCTGTATCTGCTGATAGCATAGAAGCTTTTTAAGGTAGTATAGTTTTCCTGATATTATAAATAATTAATTGATTAGTGACTATTATTATCTATAATTTTTCCTTAAAAAAGTGAGCTGACGAGTGCCATTATTCCTTTCGGTTACAAAGGCATTCATGATAATAGGTGCTGATGATATAAATACCGTATTTGATGGCATATAAGACACACCCTTATTTAGTAGGCCATACACAAGGAAAAAAAGTTTCAATAGTCCACGCAACAGCGCGGTACCACAGTAACTTAAAATGTGGTTTCTTTCAGTTCTCACGTTTCGTAAAAGCCAAATAAACAATCATTCAGTGCAATTACCAAACATATTTTTATTAAGGAAAACTAACAAACGGCAAGCTATTTTGAACATATGTAAATTTCAATAATGAATAAATGAATGAACAGCAAGCAATCAAACATAATACAAAATAAAGCAGAAACAACAAAACAAAAAAAACGTTGCTTATCATGAAATTAGACTTTAGTTACTTTCAAAACCATAAAAATCCTTTTCTCTATCATTATCATCGAAAACGAGAATATTGTCATCACTACTGTTTCCGTCATCGCTAGTATCACCTTTTTTGAATAATGCGTCGTCTTCTGTTCCATCAAGAGCATTACTGATTCCGCACTTCTTAAAGGACTTAACAATTACTTCAGCCTTTACGTCCTAAGATCTTTTTGCACACTTGTGAAATAGAGGGCTGCTTCATTCTACCTGAGGGTGTGAGGGCGTAATGTGGCTCTCCTATCCACTTGTTCCATCGTTCTCACACTTTTCCTTAAATGGCTTATTCACCGATGCATCTAAATTGGCAATTGGCTAGTCAGTCCGCCAGGAATGACAGCTATCTGGGTTTTTAATTCTCGTGCTTTATTCCTTATGGTTTCAGTTCTATGAGTGCTAAACTGATCCAAAACCTAAAGAGAGGGTTTTCTTAAGAGTCCACCAGGTCGCCTTGCCCATATGTTCTGTAACCACAGTTTCATTCTAGCTTCGTCCATCTAACCTTTCGGATGAACATGAACAATTACACCCGTTGTGTTGTATCTCTCAATAGAATTCTAAAAGGTAAAAAGAAATCTCTTAACTTTTCTTTCACGTGGGAGCCGAGCTTGTTCCATTCTAAATTCTTATTCGATGAAATATCTAAATTTGAAGCTTTTGCACAAAGACTGACACTTCTGTATGATAAAAACAGATTATATTTAGATACATTTATACATTTTATATGCAATTATTAGGTTACATAAAAATTACGCGCTCTCCAGCTAACAGTCATTCGAGTTCGGGTTCAGAGTTCTAACTATGTTCTTCCATAGGATTATTCTCGAGTTTAGATGTAATGGTGCTGATAGTCCGAAGTTTAGATGTGGCGGCACTGATAGTCCGGAGTTTAGATTTAACACGTTAGAAGTTTTTTTTTTTTTTTTTTTTTTTTTTTTTTTGAATATGAAAAACGGCGCTAGTTTTGTGCCATCAGCACAACATGTTAGAACTACCATATATTGGGTTTTTTCATGACCTGTGGTTTTCATGGTTATTTATTTAAACGCTTTAATACTCTGTCTTGTTAGATGGTACATCAAATGTGAGTGGAATTTCATCCATATTTCCTATTTGACCAAGCTCAAAAGAAGTTTTCTTGCGTGCATTTATAACAAACCTATGAAATGCTAGTATTTTTTCTTCATAATCTGCTGGCATTTTCTGTGCAATGGTTGTTTTTGTGCACATTGATAAGCCTTGCCTTTTCATGAACCTGTAGCACCAGCCCTCAGACCCTAAAAAGTACTGATTCCCATGTTTTTCTGCAAATCTTTTGGCCTTATTGATTATCATTTTAGTTGAAACACTTATCCCAGATTTCCTCTAATCTATCACCCACATTTTTATGGCATTTTCAAGTTCAAGCCAAGATGGAGCTGGGCATCGAAGACTATGTTTCTGTTTTTTCGGCATCAACACAGAGATGGGAAATTTTGCTGTTGAAACTGAAGTCAAATTCATCAGTTGTGAAGAGTCTTTTTCAGACAAGTTGGTCTGCTTGACCTGATGCCTGCTGAAATCTATGTTGCTCCCAGGACGAGATCATGCAGCTCTTCAGATAATTGCCAATGATGCAAAACCGTCTACGTGCTCTGAGGCTTCAGGTCTTCTGAATTCATTAGACTCGATGGACTTTTTGTCAATTCTCTGGAATGATATCTTGGAAAGGTTCAACAAACTAAGCAAATCTCTCCAATCTGTTAACATCGACCTGGGTAAGATCATTGAACGTAATGTAATAAAAACTGTATCAGTCTTTGGTAACATACCTAAAACACTTAACCCAGTACTTTTGATCATTATGAGCTGAAAGTTATTTTAAAATCCGGTGAAAATAGCTATGCACATAACATGCAGAGTAAATGTAAGCATACAGTCCAGTTCGACAAAGTAAAAGGAAATGGGACCGAACTCTCTGGCAGGGATACGTTGTTCCAAACCCTACCCCACTTTTCAAATTTTTGACGTCATGGAAAAATCGACTAGTTTCTTCTGGATGGTAATTCTTGAGCATGCGCTGAAGGGCAAGAAGTAACATAAACAGAACTTTGGCTTGCACTTGTAAACAGTATTAAGTATATAGTCTGAAAGTGTATTTACTTTATGTAATTGCATAATTTGACTGTTTCTGTAATAAGAAAACTTCATTCAGATAAAATTTATTTTAATATTATTATCTGATTATAGCATTATACGAAGTGATAAATACTGTAGGTACTATTGTAATCTTCACATAACCTTTCACATTGGATTTTGCTTCATCATTGTAAAATATATTCTATTATAAAGATTAAATCAATGCAAACTACTTTGTTAGAGATGTGAATGTTCTAACTGAATTTTCTTTTTATCACTTATTATTTATTTCCACTTTGAAAATACATTCCTATTTGACAAATAATTATCTCCGCTGAAAATTTTTTTGTTTGTTTAAAAACTATATTTGTCAATAATGTAATAAAAACTCACTTATATAGTGCTTTGTAGATCAATATGACAACAAATTCAAAATGTGTTAAAAGCAGTTCTTTAATCTTTAGGTTGTAGTAGATGCAACTAAATGGCACAGAGGAACAATATTTCAATAAAAAAATTCTCCTTGTTAATTCAGTAGCAAAATTATTTCTATTTCTGTGCGAAATACACTTTCAATGCTTATATATCAGAGAAATGTAATTTAAGCACTTTAGAAACTTTAAAATATAAGCTAAAGGTTTACTATACAATTTTATGTAAGGAACGTAATAATTTACTTTTATTCCTTTTAAATAGGCATATCCGTTTCCAATAGATAACTAAAATTTTTGGCAAGTTAGTGACTTAACTTGAACATACAGTATTCCGTCACTTGAAATATCAATTAATTGTTCTTTTCATTTAGAGATACATTGGAATTGAAAATACCAAAGGAAAATTGGTCACGGATCCAATCTAATTCCGTATTTGGAAATTTTTCAAAAAGGTTTTCTGTCAATTTTGCATACGTTGTTTTAAACAAGAAATCTGTATCATTTTCTTTAGTAAATTCTGAAAAACATGTTTCTGTTGTTTTTATTCAATTCTCCTTGGCAAAGTATTAGCTTAGTTTTGAAAGCTTCAGTATTGGTGTTCAGTATTAAAATGTTTAGGTTTTAAAAAAATATCTCCTATGTAACTGAGTTTTTCTAGCCAATTATTTTTAATGAACGAACTTGCTGATATATATTTCTTTTCTTCCAAAAATATGTAAACTCTATTTCTCAAATCGAAAATATGTCGCAGTATTTTTTTGTGTGAAAGTCAACTGACTTAGGTAATAATGTCTCATACACAGAACTTATCTCATTGCAGTGTATTAAAAAGAGACAAATGCTTAGGATCTTGCCTTTTAATGAAATTAATTGCAGCAATAACCCTGCAATATCTTGTGCAATTCTTCATCAATGTCTTTTGCAACAAAAGCTTATCTATGTGTCATACAATAGTTGAATATTATATGGGGAGTAATTTTCATTATTAACTCTCTTAGTCCTTTATAATTACTTGCAGCAGCATCAGTACAAACTGCGACACAGTATG